AGAAGCAAATGTGACGTCAACATGGTGGATGGTCAAATCCATAGATTTAGGTATTACCCTAGTGGCCGTTAGCTGTAAAAGTCCATAGATAAGCGCATTGTTATATAAGCCGCAAGGTTGAAAAATGGGGAAAAATTTGTGGCTTATAGTCCGAAAACTACGGTAATCTCAAAACCTTTTCTAATGACTAAAAGGTCTTAAAATCTCTATTTTTGAAATACATTTTCTTTTTCAAAAATGTATTCTTAGTTTTCAGTAATGTTGGAACAAAACTGTCTCCATACCTCATTAACGGGCATCCCCACAGCATGATCCTGCCAGCACCGTGTTTATAGTGTGAATGAGTCATTTAGGTTTTCTTCTGGTCTTTTGATCTTTTAAACCTTTTTTTATTTAGCGTCAGATTTTTTGGTTATTGTAATTATCATAACTTAACAATTCAGCAGTATGCTGCTGAAGATTCTCAGCCATCCAGGTGATAGTCAGCAGCCAGGCTACTGTATAAAACCTGGAACTAAACGCTATTCTTGACATTTTGAATTGAAAAAGCTTCCTGGATGGGAAGCGAAACGTCTTCAAACTTGGAAACAAAGTCCAGTTTATTATTATTTTTCTTTTTTTTTTTATACAGTAGCATGTTTTGTTGAATTATAACTTAAAATCCCAGTAAAACATGTTTGTTTTTCTAAAGTGACATAAAGAGCAATGGTTTGATGGCTACACTTGTGTAATTCATATGAAGCAGAGCAAGGCGTCCTGCTGGGAAGTTCAGACTGTTACGCAGCTTTAAACCGTTTTAGGACAAAGTGATCCCACAGATGTTTTGGAACAGAGAACGTGACACCATCGTTTGTTTGATTATTTTTCCTTTGGATAACGGTGGATCATTAGCAGCTGATTTTGGCTGAAACAGACAGAAAGGCACCCAGTGTTTCAGACAAACCCATTTCACCGACAGAGCTGGAGCTTATGGGAGATCTGGAAGCAAACCAAAACTGGCTTAAGTTCAAGAATGACATGTCTCCCTCTGGCAGGGGCCCCACAATCCAGAGTCACTACTGTTACAGCAGACACACTCCAGAGAAAAAAAGAGAAACCTCCTGACAGCTCCGCTTCTCCTTCCAGCTGCTCTGCGGTCTGAGCGCTCTGCCAGATGGGAGAAAACAGAAAGCCGGCAGCCGACCTGTTGCTCGGCGGAGATTTGAGAAGCTGCGGCCGATTACCGTCTGTTCAGACGGAAACATTCAGGAAACCTGCTGGCCGTCTCTCCACTGCGCCTTTAGAAACCTGCCGGGTTCTACGTCAAAAATGTTTTTCTAAAGGAGCAGCGCTGACCAAAGTAGAGCTTCAATGTTCAAACACTTTATACCATTCTCATCTGCAGTGGCATCCATACTAAAGAAAAATATCGTTTGCATATTTTTACTATTTCTAATTCAACATTTCTGGATTATTTGCACAATTAAAGAAAAACACCTGAGAGGACCTTAAAATATTGCTTTTATTTGCACACATACGTAACTAGAATCTGTGATTCTGTTGAGAAATCGTGCTCCATGTTAGGGTGGAATAAGATCACTCGTTCCTGATATTAAACATTTTATATTTCTTTAATTATTTGTCTGTTTTTTTGGTCATATTATGTCGACTTTACCAGAAAGCTTCAATCAGCTGCAGGTTTATGGAGAAAATGTGGACCTGATCCAGAGGAGAAAAGCAGGAAAGTGTCTAAATTATGTGGGGATTGCAGGTTTAAGTGCCGATCAACGATTACCGATATTTAAAAAACCTGATTTGCCAATATTGACCAGAGCCAATATTTTTTAATAACTGTTATTAAATCACTTAATAATCATCTAATAAAAAACATTAAGACGTCCTTAGCTTCCCATTAGCTGAATGCAAAGTTTAGAGCATTGATATTGGGTGATTTTCAGACTGTAGTAAGTAAAGTAAAATTTATTTGTATAGCACTTTTCACAGATAAAAATCACAAAGTTCTTCTAAAAAAAATGAAATACAATAAAAAAAAATGTAGAATAGAATGTATATCAACATTTTAAAAATAAATGGAAACATACAAACAAAGCCATAAAAAAACATACGTCTAATTAAAGGTATACTATGCAACCGGTGATGATTTTCCAGCGAGGCTCCCCCCAGAGGGCGAAAGTAAAAGTGCACTGTCGTAAATATGCTCAGCTGTTCTCCTGGTTTCTCCGTCAAGCCAGGCGCGGTT